GGGGGAGTGGAGAGCTTGACGGGCGAGGTGGGAAGACGATGGGAGAGGAAGAGGAAGAGGAGGAAGACGAAGAAGAAGAAGAGGGCAAAGAAGAGGAGGACGAAGAAGAGGAGGACGAAGAAGAAGAAGACGAAGACGGGGGAGGTTGATAGGCGATGGGGGAGTGGGGAGGGCGATGGGGGAGTGGAGAGCTTGACGGGCGAGGTGGGAAGACGATGGGAGAGGAAGAGGAAGAGGAAGAGGAGGAAGATGAAGAAGAAGAAGAAGAAGAAGAAGAAGAAGAGGACGACGAGGACGAGGATGACGAAGAAGAAGACGACGAGGACGAGGACGAGGATGATGAAGAAGAAGACGAAGGTGGGGGAGGTTGATAGGCGATGGGGGAGTGGGGAGGGCGAGGGGGGAGNGGGGGAGGTTGATAGGCGATGGGGGAGTGGGGAGGGCGAGGGGGGAGTGGAGAGCTTGACGGGCGAGGTGGGAAAACGATGGGAGAAGAAGAGGAAGACGACGAAGAAGAAGAGGACGACGACGACGAGGACGAGGAAGAAGAAGAAGACGAGGACGAAGAAGACGAAGAAGACGAAGAAGACGAAGAAGAAGAAGAAGAAGAAGAAGAAGAAGAAGAAGAAGAAGAAGAAGACAAGGAAGAACACGACGACGACAAAGAAGAAGAAGACGAGGAAGAAGACGAGGAAGAAGAAGAGGAAGAAGACGAGGAAGAGGAAGAAAACGAGGAGGACGAAGACGAAGACGAAGACGAAGACGATGAAGACGACGACGACGAAGAAGAAGAAGAAGAAGAAGAAGAAGAAGAAGAAGAAGAAGAAGAAGAGCAACAACATTAAACCGCTCATCCCGAATCCTCTACCGGTACTTATAGCAGGGGATTGGAATACGACCTTGGATCCCAATCTCGACCATATCTCTCGCTCCTTGTTGATGGGCCCCACACAAGCAGGAACCCACATTCAGAACATCATGGTGGAGTTCGAACAGATCGACCCGTTAAGAACTCTCCATCCTCTCATGAAAGATTTCTCTCTAGTTAAGAGAAATTGGGCTAACCGTAATTCGCTCTCGGGGAATGACTTCTTTCTGGTTTCCAAGGTCCTCCATGGCACTGTTAAGGAGGCCAAAATCCTGCCTGCAGCTGCATTCAAAGGGCCGGACCACAAAGTTACCGAAACCCATATATCTGCTCCTAAATTTCAATGGCCCCGTGGAAAGAGGCCATGGCCGAGTCGAGAAGCATAGTGGCTGAACGCAAAATCAGAAAAGAGGAACTTCAAAATGCTATATCACTCGCTGAAGCTAACCTTACATCAGACCCCACTAGGGAATTCTATTACGACCTACTCAGATCTTCCAAGGAAGGACTTAACGAATGGAGGAGATGCGAACTAAGAGGCCTACAACTACGCACCAGGATGACTGATTACACTCTCAATGAGTCAAGTTCTTCTTCTCCAAAATTAAGGCCAACGCTAGAAATAGTATGGTCGAGAAGCTGAAAGACCCATTGGACCAGGGGAGAGAAAAATCAGCTGGCACAAACATGGTAAAGATTGCCAGGTCCTATGCAGACCTCTACGAGCCCAAAACACCTTCCCCCCCCTCCATGGCAAACCCAACAGCTCGTCAACATATGATGTCTTACCTGGACAGGATGATCACGCCGGAGCAAACTGGAGGTCTGGACAAACCAATCACCCTGGGGGAGCTCCAAGCAGCTTTATTGCAGATGGGAAACGATGAGGCTCCAGGAATCGATGGTCTCTACAAAGAGTTCTGGGTCCACTTTTGGCCCATATTGGGGAGCGACCTCCTCAATTTTATCAATGACAGCAATGCAAAAGGTGGTCTGGGCCAATTCCTACGCACTAGTGTGGGCTCGCTACTCCACAAGAAAGGTGACGAAGAGAACCTAAAGAACTACAGACCATACATATGGCGCATCGACTTGTGCTGCACCACGCACAGGCGCCGCACCGTGCACAGTGCACGAAACGTGCACACTGGGTGTGGCGCACCCCGAAAACAAGGGGTCAGGGGGAAAACAAAATTGGGGAGAGGGGTTGTAGGCCTGAGTAGGATGCCGCGTGAACCGAGACAAAAACAAAACAAAAAGAAAAATGCAGCTGCGCAGGGCCTTTCAAAAAACAAGGCGGGAGCTCAAGGCACTTCAATTTTGAGCTGCACCACACCGGTGGGAGACACCCCGGTACCTTTGTGCCCCTGAAGTTGTGTCCTCCTTCACGCCCACTGTGTGTTGCATATCGCCTCGTCGGCTTCGCATCTCCTATGCAGCAAAAGCAGTCCCCGGCGTCGTTGTTCACACATAGCTAACGCACAACACGACCAGCAGGAAGGCGCCAAAGGAAGCAGAGGGAGAGCGAGGCCTCATCTCCGACAGTCGCCAGGTGAGTAACCACCAGCCCCTATCTCTCTCTCCCCTCCTTCCTCTCTTTCTCTCTCTCTCTCTCTCTCTCTCTCTCTCTCCTCTTATACACATCTAGATGTGTATAAGAGACAGCCCCCCGCCCTCTTTTTATGCATGAATGACGGCATTCCTGACAACGTGTAATAGGAGGGGA